CTGGATAGGATTAACATATATGACAAAACGTATGAAATCCAGTAAGGGGAGCTATGAAGGGGCATGGACAGGGGGGCAGTTTCTAAATTCAATTAAGATATATTATGTGAAATGTACAAAAACTCATTAAAATATAAAAAACTGATAATGAACATTAAAATTTATAGTAGTTTTATATTGCTGTGGCATCTTAGTCCATCCTCAGTGTACCAACCTCACTGAGCAGAGTAGAGAGCAGCTCTAGTGTTATCTGATTTGTTTGGTTAAGGCATATGGTGCACAATAAGCTTAAGTCATATAGGTGCACAAGGACCATGTATCAATCCAAACCATACAGGAAAGTGTTAGACGTACCACTAAATGAACTCAGTGCATTATATATGTGTATATTTATAAATGCATGTACATATATGTAATAATAACAAAGAGGCTAACAAATTGAGAGGGAGTGGAGAGGACATGGGAGAAGTTGGAGAGGGACTGGGAAGGATGGAAATAATGCAAATAGAATATTCATGTACGAAATTCTCAAAAATAAAATATATTTTTAAAATAAAAAGCATCTTATAATGATTTATTAGTATGTCTGTAAATTACTGCATCTCTCAACCCTCATCAGGGCAGCTTCTTTGTGGAGCAGATGGTGATTAACAGAGACCCACAACTTGTCAACATGCAGTGAATAAAAGCCTGCAGAATGCTCAGCCCTAAATGGGACATCTGTATCACACCCTCTCCTCCTAAGGCTTAGGGATCATTGTGGAAGAGGGGTTGGAAGGATAAGAGCCAAATGTTATGGAGGATACAGGGAAACCATGTTTTCTGGACACAACAGGGCAGTTGCACACATGAAGCCACAGCACTTGTGACAGCATTCACAAGATCTGTGCAAACCTAAGTCAAATAAAAACCTAGCATGGAGAGGGGTGGTGGGCAGGAAGCCCCAGCCTTAGTTGAGGAACAATTGGCAATTGATAGCTCCTGAGAAGGGAGAATCAGTTCTCTTTAGGGTGTGACTCTCTGCATAGGTTGAGTAGATTCCAGGGAATGAACCCTGTGACCCAGAAGTTCCTCTGATAAGCCATAATCCCACCTCCTTCCCATTCTCTGTGGAGGGAATCAAGTCCACTAATGGGCAGGGCTATGGAGATAGAAGACAGGAAAATCATGAGGCTGCTCTCTTGCCCTTTTGTGTGGCTGCTGGGAAGCTACCAGACTTGTTACAGCTGTGAATGGGGTAGTCACCATTTTTGGAATAGAGCTTGGGGAAAGGCAGGGCAAATGCCCCGCCTTACTTGGGGGCTCCTTGGCGGGGTGAGATGAGGCACTATGACCGGTGAGAAGGCTGAATGAAGCACACTGGGAAAAGGGAGGGGGGGCAGCGGCCACCATATTGAGCACAGGCCATACTGAGCACAGGCCAACTGCCAAGGAGAGAAGGAGCCGGGAGAGCAAGAGACGGATGACACATGCATTTCAAATACAGAAAAGGAAAAGCCTATAAGAATCCGTGTTTTTTGTAAATCACCCCCACCAAATGTCATATAAACTATGCAAAATCCAAATAAGATGCCTTCTGTCAGTTTGTCAGCCCTTATCAGGACTGGGAGATGCTGAGTCTGGGGTGGGTCTCCCAGTAAGAAGGGAAAAATCTAGTGAAACAAACCATACCTAAGAGCACTTGAGGAACACAAATTGTACATGATACACCTTTAAAAAATAATAATAGAGGGCATGGAAATGGAGGGTCTGAATAGGATCACAATGCATTGTATAAAGTTCTCAAAGAATAAAAATATTTTAAAAGAAAATTTTTGATTCTCTGAAAGTTCACCTATAAACTTTAGGAGGAAAAGCATATTTAGAATGAAGAATTCTTCCCAATTTCGCATCCAACATTAGGGAGTTTGATTTTAGTATTGAGAAGTACTTGTGCCACAGTTGGATAAAAATTTAATATCATCCTTAGCTTAAAATATTCTAAATAATATTCAAATTGAGTTATCACCAGTTCAAAAACCTAACACCTGAATTCTTAAAAATTCAAAGATTCTTGGGCTATGAAATACCATTACAAATGGAAAATTACACATTGATCTCATGGGAAGGGGTACTAAAGTATGCATTAAAGTTATATGGGTAAGGCATATATGACATTTTAACACATTTCATGTTCAGACTTGGGTCCCATATCCAAAATGTCTGAGTATGCATTTGAAAATATTCTAAAAATTAAATATCTGAAATCCAAACCCACTTTGGGTCCAAAGCATCTTAGGGACACTCAGTCAAGCATGTGCAGGTCTTCAGGGGGTGGTTGATAATTGGTAGCTATGAATATCATGCAGTGAAAACTAATGAGCTTAAGCAAAAAAATGTAATTATAGAAGTTTAGGATTTGGATAGTGTGAAGGCAGGTGATCATGACAACCTGAGAGAGAATCACAGAGAAACAACACAGCATCTCTGCTATGTTTAGAACTATGCTGCCCATCAAAACAGAAATTTGCTTAAAACTTTTCAGAATCAAAGTAAATTTTCAAAACACAAATTGGTGTCTTTATAACTCCCTGTCATTGGCCATATTCATCTCAAAGTCAATGATCTTAACTATAACAGTAGTCAAAAACTGAGTTGTACTATTTTATTGTCTCTTTCCGAGAGAGGGGGGAGAGAGAGAGAGAGAGCACGCGCATGTCTGCGTGAAGGCCAGAGGTCAGGTATTTTCCTCTATTGTCCTACACCTTATTTTTTGAGACAGCATCTCTCATTGAACCTGGGGCTCACTGCTAGACCGTCTGGCCAGCAAGCCCCTGGGATCCTTCTGTTTCTGCCTCCCAGTACTGGGGTTACAAGCATACCCCACCATGCCTGGCTTTTGCTGTTTGTGCTGGGGATCTGAACTCAGGTCCTCATGCTTGTGCAGCAAGCATTTCACCCAATGAGCCATCTCCTCAGGCCCTCTCTTAATTTTAAACAATCATAAATCTAAGGTGGTTGGGCAGATCACAACACCACCACATGGAAACACCACATTTCCACTAAAATGCCCAGGCCACTGGTAAATTTGGGAATGTCAGGAAAAAGTTCATTCAAGCAGCAGACACTTCTAGAAGGGATTCAACCAACTGAACACATTTCTTATTTCTCTTCAGGCCATGGTCCAACTCTACATTTTCAAATGGAAAATATGATAAAATATGATAGTTTTATTAAATTACTCTTACTTAGTATTTTCCATCATTATCTTGCTCTGTATTTAGTTTTCTTCTTTATTAATAAATCTTTGACTTGACATATAGCCTATGCAGTAAAATAACCATAGCGACCAATACATATAATATGACCTTCACTCCTGTAGGCATGCAATCCAAGCAATATCATTTTGGTAATGAGGAAGTTGGTTTTCCTACTGGTGCATGTTCTGTGAAGGTTGTAGTAAACGTTGCCCTCATTAAAATTCTTGGGAGGCATGTTTTTCAACTCTTGATATTTTCACAGGCGTTTTACTATGTAATGATCTGGGGCATGTTAGAGTCCATCACTGTTTGCAATGTGGCTGGTTCTAATGTCTGTGTGGATCAGGATACAAGCAGGAATTCTAGCAGCCACAGTACCTCCAACAAGCCCTAAATACACAGGTGTCCTGTAATATCAAGGCCAGCACAGACTGGACTTTAAAGAAATATTTATAAATAAAACCAATCTTTATGGGTCTATAATGAGTCATGGGTCTATAATATATTTCAGTTATCATTGGGTCATCACAACTTATGAAACGTATACTGTAAGTAATCAATGCACATGAGGCAAGCAAGCATGGGAGACACTTGGTTTGGGGTTATGTGCAACTCCCTCTCTTGTAATAATGCCCTTGGCAGCTGGTTCTCTTACTGGAATGTGCTATGCACACACACACACCCTTCCCCAAACAATGCATCTAGCAACCTCATAACCCCTCCATCCCACCCAGTATCAGGCTAAATGCATTACCATATTTGACCAATGGTCTAATATTCCCATTAAAAATCAAATTCAGATAGCTTCTATCCAAGTGTATTCCCAACACATCTGGGTATGAGGAACAGAGGGTTGATCTAGCTTGACCTACTTCTGGAAGCATATGCAATAAGGCAAAACAGTATCCTCTAGAAACCTTTCAGGGAGAATCCACTATTTACTATCTTATGTCTATGTGTAATTGTGTATGCATATGATTAAAATCAGATGCATTATGGGAATGGATATGCACAAGAGAGAAATGAGGTTATAACCTAACCTACCAATAAAAATACTTACCCAAACTATGCCCTTTGGTAAACATTTCCTCCTTCTTAAGCCCCATAAAAGGGAGTCCCAAACAATAATCAGGGTTCCTGAGTATCTTTGCTGATGTGGCCTGCTGTCTATCTTGACAGTGAATCTCTCTTGAAATCTGCTTGTTTTGCTCCAAATGAAATTACCTTATTTCCTTAAAAAAATTGAATGAACCCTTATTTTCAATTCTTTGGATAAGAGACCAAGAACCTGGAAACATCTGGCCCAGACTCTGACTACTAGTAACACATAGACATTATCAAGGAAGTTATCCAGTTTGTCACAATCAATTTGATCCTTAATTGTGACACATCTCCAGCTGTCTGAGGTAGAACACAGAAATAATAACTCTTATTCTCTGCACATTCCACACTTACCTATGGAGAAAGGGGGTGCATCAAAAAGAATCAAGGCACTTTTTTGGAGAGCCAGGTCTATGGCTACTACATGACACTTTCCCTAGATCATAAGTTCATTTCTCTGAGAGCTTCCTTTTAAGAAAAAATATAAAGGGATGGAGTTGTACTGTGAAAGTAACAACAGCTGTTTGATCCTTGGGAACCATGGCAGATTGGTAGTTCATTTACCCTAGCTGAGGCCCAGATGGGATGTGATAAAAGGGTCACGAGAGGAATTTGAAGGCAGCAGCAGGTGGATGGAGAGGGGCAGGAAGTGGCACTCACCACTGCCTCCTCCTTTGACTCCTCTGTTTCTAGTCCAAGGTCCAGCCCAGAAGCAGGTGCAGCAGTACTGACAGGTGGCTCTTCTGCTTGTGGCTCTGTGGACGGAGCTGGTTCAGTTTCAGCCTTGGGTTATTTGGGGGTTAGAGGAAAAAGATTCAACACATGAATAGGCAACATTACAGAATACTGGGCAATGAAAATCTGCTTGTTATTTAAAAGAAAGCTAGTTTCATTAAATCTATTCTGGAAAAATCCTGCCATTTGGCAACATGAACCCTTAGAGAACTGGGAAGGCAAGGAGTGGAATCACCTAAACTTTCCTTTAACATCCCCTAGATCCCTCACTTCCTTTGAAGTCAAACTAAGACCTACCAATTTTTTTCCTGTAACATTTGGCTCTTACTTCTCTATGGCCTATATGAGGGAATCTAAAGTTCTGTTAAAAAACAGAGAAAAAGGGGGAAGAGAGGGGGGAGCGGCAGAGGGAGGGGAGAATAAGAAAAGAGAAGAGAAAAGGAGGGGAGGGGAGGGGAAAGAAGACTCTCTAGGAGGCCTGACATTTGCCAGATGGAAGGAGAGAGGAAGAATTTATAGGGCACATAGATCTGTGATCATTCAGTTCCTATATTACATATATATTACACAGAGAAATGACGGGGTCATGTCAACACATAGATTTAAATAGATTCATTTAACCCATGGTCCACTTCCAAAGCTGACAGCACAGGCTCAGCTACCTGGCTGCTCCTTACCATAAACCAAAGAGCCTTTGTGGTTTTGTTTGAAGTTCTAATTCAGACCCTTTCCTGCTTCTACCTCCAACAAAATCTGTAGCAATCAATTTCTTTCATATAAAAAAGCCAATCCTTTAAAGAATCACAGTGAAGCATCTACATGGTCTCAGTAACACACTTTAAATCCTGGGGCAAGATGAGATGCTGCTGTGCCAATAGCCCCACTACATACAGACAGCCTCCAGTTCCAATCACACGCTGAGTTACACACTGAGACGCATCTGTGTTCTTAGCTGAAGTCCTTACACTCTTCCCATGTGCCCATCTAATTCCATGTGCACAGTGAACTTCATAGAGAAGTGGTGCAGAAGTGTTTCTGCAATTACCAAAAATAATGACTCGCTACTCAAATTCAACTTATAAGTCACTTTTCCTATTGTTTCAGAGGTAGTGAAATTACAAATATTTTGACACGATGGAGAGCAAAACAAAGATAAGTTGTAACAACTTGTGGGAAGATCTGAAACAGTACTACTGGAGCTGTGCCCCGCCTCAGCTGTTTTATTTTCCTACAAGACATCCCCCTTGATAGATACTGTTAATGGATTCATATCATGCCGTGCCTAGTTCGGAGCACTACAAATGATGCCCTATGCTTTGATGGAATAGCAGCCATTACACATTCAGAGAAGAGAATCCAGTGCTGGGCTTCTGCTGCCCCTGAGAAGATCCTGCAGACTTACAATTTGCTGAGAGTTACAGGCTTATGGTGATTAACCTAGTGCCTCCAAGCAGGAAATGTTAGGGGCATTTTAGTACTGGGCATGACAAGGTTGGTTCCCCAACACAGAAGAGGCACAGTATCTGCTTTAGAGAATACATATGTAGAAAAGAGGAGGGAAAGTGCCTACAAATGTCAAAGGGGCATAGCACAGGGAGATGTCAAGACACATAGAAACCACAATTCTGACCAAAGTATCTTCTGGATCAAAGTAGTAGATGTACGTTTGCTCATGACTAGTAGTTTTTCTATTATATTTGCATTTCTGAGTTTTCCCTAACTGTTCACAATTGATGATTCAAAACTTCATCCTCCAAGCTCCACCACCAAGGCTGAGAATGACCAACGAACATGAAGACTGAATTTTTTCTGGCTGTATTACTGATATTATATGATTGGTATTTGAATATTTATTGAAAACCCTCAGAGATTCTGCCTTCCACTGGTTGTGCAAAAGTATGACAGTCTACTGTCATATTAGAGTCACAATTGTCTGCACAACAGAACCAAAGAAGGTTTGTTTAAGACAAGTTTCTCAGAATTCCTTACTTGAAAGTGAATTATTGTACAAAGAAAAATTCATTCTATGTGAACTCAGTTTCAAACTTCCAATGTGAAAGGTAATCAAGATAACTATTACGATGGAAAAACCACAGTAATGCTAATAGCTCTCCTTGAGCCTCAGAGAGAACAAGCCTTCTGTCATGTAGCAGTGACAGTTTTCAAGGTCTCTTCAATCAGCATGATTAGTAAGCTACTGCTGAAAGGTTTCCCATGATAGCAGCAACTGCAATATTACAAGAATCTCCTGCAATCCCCAGAGCAGCTCCTTCTGCTCCCTACTCATTCCCTGAGATTTAGTCCCCTCGTGATGCAATGAGGATTCTCAGATGGCCTATGCATGCTTTTTTCTAAAACTTACAAGATGAAGAGATGAGATGAGAAATTACCAGCTCTAAGTTCAAGAAAAAAAGCAATGCAATATTAGTTGAAGCATAAACTCTTGAGGTAAATTTGTTTCAGTGCTAGCTTAAGTTATAGTTGCATAGAAAGACCCAGGACTTTGATGAATTCATTGTGTTCCAGTGAGGACACTCAGTATTATAAAAAACTGATTTGTGTTGGCAACACAGTGTTAGAAGTAAAGAAATTTAAAGTAAGTTTTACAGATGCTTTTCTTTCTGTTTTCTAGGAAAGAGGGAGCTATGGAAATCACTTTGAGTATTCAAATTCAGACAAACTAGAATGATCAATAACTTTCAAACATTCTGTGATAACTAACAAGTGCCTCTCAAATTCACAGTAACACCAACTCACCAAGCTGCTCAAAACATTCTGATCTGCCTGCATAGTGAATAATGTAGTGTCCTGGGGCTGAAAAGAGGGAGAAAAAGAGACATTTAAAAAACTTATCTGAATTGGCAACCATCAGTTGTATCAATAAATACAATTTTAATGTTTGTGAAAGTCCCCTTTTAAATAACTGGAAAAGTGCCAAGAAAGTGTTAACACGAGTTATTCTAAATATAAATCTCTGCTAGCAGAACATGGCAAGGCACCATTGCCTCACTGGAGAGTCAGTGGCCAGTGCATGGTTTCTGATCTCCCAATGGCATTTTTCTGGAGAATAACCAACGGCTGAGGTTCCACATAGTGTAGCTCCCTGTGGATTTTTTAGAAGGAGGCTCTTTAAAACTTCTCACAGTTGCTAAGATCCATCTCCTTAGTAAAAACAATCCTGAGTCTAGAAGATCATTCGGATTAGAACTGCTTCTAATTACTAGTAGAGAAATCAGCAGAAACTGCAAGTCCTTAACATAGCCAATGGCATGCATAGTAAACAGCTGAAGTCATGGAATGCTCAGCATGTGCTGGGTTGCTGGGTTAAGTGCTCTTGTACATAGCTCATTTAATCATAAGCATCCTCCAATGCTGTCTCCATTATCCAAGTTGTAAGTAGCAAGATCACATTTTCTACCACCACTCGTAATCATTTTTGCTCAATTGATGAAACAGGACCCACACTAAAAAGAATTTGCAACAATTTCAGCAGGTGGATCTTTTGAGTAAATTGATTCCGTACCTGGGTAAATCCATCAAATGAACCTCCAGGAGCCTAAAAAGAAATGAGAAACAGAAGGTATAATTTTTTTCTCCTCCCTCTTATGAGTGAATAGCCACTAGACAAGCTGGGGAATAACGACTACCACACACAAATTTTAAAATAATACAACAGGTTGCTTTGTCTGAAAGTGCTTGGGAACTGCAAAAAGCCATGTTGTATTATTATAAATAGGCTGACAAAAAAAATTGAAAGATTAAGTACACAAATATTGCTGGTATGTGACTTAGTCTTCACCAAAACCAACTTTCTCAAGAATGAGAAGATGGTTCCAGGGAAGAGCCATGAGAGGTTAATATCTCCTTTCAAGTCACTGATAAAATCTGGGAGAAGCTTTTCTATCATTTTTATAATCCATCATTTTGATGAACCACAGTGATGAGACTCCAGTTGCAGTGGGCCTATGCAGAAACATTCCATGAATTTTTATTGGAATAGAACCACTTTGAAAACAATAAATAAGTCTATGTTACTCATGGTTTGACAAATTTTAGTGCCTGAACAGTAAAAAAATAAAGTAGAAAGAATAAACTCATGGAATTAGAAGAAAGTCTCTTATTAATTTCCAACACATGCACTCTACTTTGGGGGGATTTTTTTTAAATCAACCTATTTGTGTTTGGTTTGTACATATTTAAGAGGTACATGACAACCTGTCAAGGAGATCAATGGATGGACAATGAAGTTGGAGAGGACATTAGGAAAAACAGAACCCACAGAAGCCTTTAGCTAGTCTATGCTACATTATGGGGAAAGTACCTCATCTTTATCAGCCTCTTATTTCTTGGTACAACAATCCATATCTCTGGTTAGCAATTTCATCTTCAGATAAATCTGAGTTGCTGAAGTCATTGTCTTGGGAACTATCAGAACTCTCAGTGCTAGTGTTCCAGGAGGGTCCCAGAACCAGAGGTCTAGCTATCTCCTGGCTTTGTTCTGAGCAGGTAGTAATGGCTTTTTTCCCACATATACCTGCTGGCAAGTCTACCTGCACTCCTTTTTCACTTTCAAATAAATGTTCCAAGCATTTATGTAAGCCTTCTATATCTCTGATAAGCCAGTGGTTATTAGATTCCAGCCAGTTGGCAAATCCACTTACTTGGCCATCTGGAATACCAGAGACTCCTGCCATACCCATGTTACTCATTCCTGAATTCAAGCCTGGCTGCCAGACTTGACCTGGATCTGTTCCCCAAGAGTCTGTCTTTGCAGTTCTGGACAAATTAATGGTACGACTACAGTTTCCAGGCACCACACTGTCAGAGCCCTCTGCTGATGATTCTTCTCCTATGTATGAACACTGATCTCTTCCATCTTCAGTAGTTTCCAGAGAACAGTTAAGGTCAGTGCTAGACTCATCTACCACTGCACATTTCATTGATAAAACAACAATTTGATTCTTATGTTCATCGGCTCCATGAGCATTTAATGCAATGCCACATTGAATTTCTTCAGCATCTGCACATCTCTGTTCTGAATGAAGCATCATAGTATGATTTGGAGGCCCTATTAAATTTTTCTCCATATGTTTTCTGGTGAAATTCCATTCTTAAGGACTGACATTTTTAATATTAGACAGAGTCAGACTGGAAAGGTTGATTACAGATGATGGAAAGATTACCTGGAAAGGTAGATTACATGATTAGCAGGTTTCACTCCTAAGCCTTCTATATTTTTACAATGATCGATTGCTACTTGAATTTCATCATGTAGTCCTTGGATTCTGTTATCAAAACCATCTGATACATGTACTCTTTTCATGTCCCTTTCTAATAGGTCAGCTTCCTCAAGATAATTTTCATAAGTTTTTAGTCTTTCCTTGTTACATCTTAGATCTTTCCTAGTTCCCACTTTATTAATTTTTATGGTCTCCTGATCTTGCTCTGCTTTTTTGAGATGATTTAGTGTCCTATTTCCTACCCTGTCACACACTTTCTCTTCAGATCCCTCTAGTGTCTTGATATCAATAGCTCCAGTGTCTACCTTTTGACATGTCTCCACACCTGCCCACATAGAATCTTCTTTCTTCTCTTTCTGTTTCAATTCTTCATCAGATTTTTTAGCTTCTTCATGACCTTTTACGAGCAGGCCAAATTTTTCCACGGCTGGAATCTCTGAGTCAAGTAATTCATATGGCTGGTCCATCTTCATGCAAACAGCAATAGCAACTCCAGTCCGGGACTCAGGTTCTAAGGACAGCTGTTTGTTTCTAGCTGGAGAGACTGGTCCCAGAGTATTCTCCCCCTGTTCAGCTTCAGTAGACCAGCCAGCAGAAGAAAGCACTCCAGTGGGTAATCTCATGTCTTGCTCTGCTTCAGAGAGACATGCAAAGTCTTCTCGAGATCCACTTGGGGTAATTTCTTGGCTGACACTGTCTGTACTAGCAACAGGGCCCCAAGTGAATGCACCTATATCAACTTCAGATCTTTGAATTTCTTCTGCCAACCCACTGTCTGGAGTTTCCTCCATGATCAGATTACACAGAGAAAGACTTTTGAAGAGTCAGTCTTTAAAGTTTGCAGAAGAACAAAGGAAAAAAAAATCATAAGATGAAATAGACCATGGAAATATTTGATGAGAAACATAGAACTCTTCAGTAGGACAGTAAGAGTTAAACCAAACCAGAGAGTGCTCCTAGTAATGTCTTGGGGAAAATTCACTCTAAATTCACTCTACAAAAATGCCACGAGTATAATGAGGTTAACTATTTTAAAAATCCAGAATCTTCTGGATATTTACCTACCGGCTGTACCAAATCAGTAGTTGTCTGTGTACAGATAAAAAGAAGAAGCATTAAGCAAAAGATGGTTAAATTTTCTCAGGCTGTCCTCAGATAATGCTCTACTAAATATTGTGGCTTTTACTGGTGTGAATTAAATTTGATAATTTTGTGATAGGAATGATTTTTTTCTAAGACTATTTAAGGCTGCTACAGAGGAGGTACAGCTGAAACACAAAGCTCTCTTCTAGTGTCAAGGAGGATGTTTCGTGACTAGCACGAAATTTCTGCTTTAATTATAAGGGACAGTTTTCCCCAGCCATCTGCATATCGCCTTCTGGCACTATGAAAGCCACCCATCCAGCCATCCAGTGGCAGGGAGTTTCCAGTTTAGTCCAAGCTTGATTTCTCCCTCTCCCAAGCTAATATCATGTGATGTCTTCAGCAATAAGGTTTTACTGCCCACTTCTAGTGCACAACCAACATTATTGGCAATAATCTTTATTGATTTGGGGACTTCTAGGGTCCCTCTGGCCAACAGCTCATAGGGGGCAACCCACCTCTGGCACTGGGATCTTCATTTAGCAATGGTATGGCTTCTGGTGGGGCTTTCTTTCATCCCCATAGGGTTTTATCTGTGCTTAAGGCTTTTTTTTTTTTAATGTGTATTGGGAGAATTTTTTCCTCTTTATTCCCATAGTTCTTTGTATAGCCCTCTTTCCCCACTTCCCCTTTAACTACCCCCTTTTTACATATTTCTCCCTTAGTGATGCCTTCTCCTACTATTATTCTCTCTTGAGTTTCTTCTTTCCTTTACCTCCCTGATTCAATGGATCCCACGTGCTGCATTATCAACATGCCAAACAAGATGTTCCAGCTGATGCAATAGTGGCAAGTCTAATGTATGCACAACCAGCAAATTTTCAATTGGCTATAATGCCTGTTCCTAGAGGTAGAACACATACTCTGGTACTGGGAGGCCAACTCCCAGTGACAGGGGAGGATATAGGCCCCAACGGGGAATCCATAGCAATTGTTTAGTTAGATGGATGTGATACACCTGCTAAAGTACCTTCTAAGCATTTGTATTTATTCCCATAGGTTAAGTTATTATAGCAGTCATTGTTTAGATGTTCCTGCATCTTGCTGTGTGTTTTTATAGTAGATGGAATCCTACAGAAATGGGCCAACATCCCATGGAAAACAGATGATGCAGAGACCCAAAAGCTCAGTGCCTTGCCATAATGGGAGGAAGATCATCCCACACCTACCCCCCCACCAAGGCTCAGGGACTTTTGTGGAAGAGGTTGACAGAAAGAATGTAAGAGCTGGAGGAAGGGGTGGAGTGTGAACTGGAAATGCCCTCTGACCACTATGCTAGCAAGCTATAGTCACACCTCCTTCCCATGCTCATCAAGGAGTTGAGGGGAGAGTCAGTTATCCCTCCCACCCAGTCAATTGACTTTAGCTACATGTGGGGATGGGCTAAGCATATATAAGCCGAGAATGCCATGAGGCACCTCTCTCACCATTTTGTGTGGCTGTCAGGAAGTCATAGGATCTATATTTGAGTGTGGACTTTCAAGAGCAGCTGTAAATGAGGGGGCACCCACTCTTCTGTAAATAAACCCCCACCCTATGCTCTGTTAGCAAGCCCAATAAACTCCTTAGGATTTTCAAAAACAAAATTCTGCCTTAGCACCTCTGAAATAAAATGCTTATCCAAGTAAACAGACAGGTCTGAGGACAGCAGGCTGGAATAAACAAGTCTGAGGACAGTAGGCTGGTATCAAGAACTGAAGTCAGGAAATGATCCCAGGCCATATGTTCAGATGGCATCTGAACAAAGTCTCCCCAAACTCATCCTTTACTCAGTTCCAACCTTGAGGAGTGTGCTTAGATGGAGAATGAACTCATATTAACCACAATGACTATCTTGAGGATTCTCTTTGCGTTCTTTCTTCAACCTAAAAGACCTTTTCTGACCATAGGAAAAATACCCTGGAAAGTATAGAGGAGTAAGCATCATAGGCAGTGTGTCTAGAAAGCCAAAATTTGGTATTCTTGTGATTTTTAATGTTCCTGACAGGTCTGTCCCCTGAAACAGTGAAAGCTTCCCACTAGATGGTACCTTTACCCTCACCACACCTTTTCCTATCTGGAAAGAAAAACATTATATATCATTAATAAATGATAAAAGGATTGGTATTATTCTCACAATCTTCAACAAAAGTAACACAACAGTGAGGTTAGAATTCTAATGTCCTGAATGTGAATCTACCCTTCTCTTTTTGTAAACACAAAAGTAAAACTAACAGCATAAGTAGTATTATCTTAGTCATACATGGTTCCAACTAGTACAATTAACTCCTCCTTGGAAGCCATCTTTCCTAAAGAATAAGTATAAAACTCTAGGGAAGGGGAGGGGCATCCTTTACTTTGGGAAAAAAACATAAAAATATCACTTCAGAAGATTGGGCCCACAAATAATAACTGCATCTAAATGCTTCTGTTGTGGTCTTGACTAAATTCAAGCAGCATACTTAGTACCACACAACCAAGGCATTTTAAAGACTAAAACCTAACCCTAGGGGTTATAAGGTTAGACACTGGTGCTGCAGTTTCCTGATTATGCAGTACTGAGGGAACACCACAGGCTCTGCTCATCTCCCTTCCCAACTCTAAATTCTAGAAATACCCAACCTTATACATCAGATTAGCTGAGTAATATAACATTGATAATAATATCTACCTTTCATTGACACATATCATACATTGAGCTAAATATTTTGCAGATGAGGAAAAACTGAGGTTTAGAAGATTTTACAAATTGATAGAAATTACAAGATTACAAGTATTACAGTCTGAACTGAAATCCAGGACTGTCTGGCTCAAATCTCTCATTGCTTTAATCAATGTTAATTAGATATAATAATTAAAATAGCTCCCATCACCTTCTAGTTTCTCACACTCTGTGTTTAGATTCTTTTTGAGAGCACCCCCATATGTGTATGCCTTCCATTACCACAGCAACTCTGGTCACCAGCTCCCACAGGAAGACACAGAGAACAAGGGCATGTTAATCATTAACTATCCAGCAGTGTGGGCCAAAGGCACACTCTTCTTTACCAGGATCGTCTGACTTGGAAATACTCAGGCATTTTTCTGGATGATTGCTCTAGGGGAATATACTATCATTAAATGAATGGGGTTTCTTTCCCTCACAAGTGAAAAAATATAATAATAAGTTTCTAAACTACTACAGATCAAGGTATATAAAAAGAGTTCTTAGGCCAGGTGTGGTGGCATATGCCTTTAATCCCAACACTCCGGAGGCAGAGGCAGGCAGATCTCTGTGAGTTCAAAGCCAGTCTGGTCTACATAGTGAGTTCCAGGACAGTTGGGGCTACAGGGAGACCCTGTCTCAAAAACGACCAATAATAATAATAATAATAATAATAATAAAGAATTCTTAGATATCTTACCGTCCATAAGTCCCAAGGCAATGTCTAAAAGCAAACAAATAAAAGCACTATCAGCATGTAAAAATACATATAATTGATGACAGTTACAGAGAGGCTAGATAGTTTCATGAAATCATGAATGTTCGTAAGCATTTAGCACAGCACTATCCTATAACCCTGCTTCTGGTAATGGAAATGCCTACTTCTTTTATCTGTTTGGGTGGACACTTGTCACATATGGCTATTAGGGACTTGATATATACCAGCCTAACAAAAAAAAATTTAGATTTTATGTAATTTTACTTAATTTAAGTTTAGCCACAGGTAGTCAGTAGATTCACATGGAATAGCACAGTTCTAACAAATCTGCTTTTGTTCTTTAAATGGTATCTGTATCTGATATATAATGAGGGGGTTACTTTAACATATACATATCATTAAAATAAAAATGTGTTCAGTATTAGAATTAATCGTATAATTGAGAAAATACAGTCTGCAATCCTTGCTAATTTGACTGCCATTCCCTGTCACACTCACAAAGCTATTATAGCTAGTTTGATGGCAAATGTCACTCTCCAATATGCTGGGTTAGATAACACACAGTTTAATAATTGGCAATTATGTACATTAGCAGGGTACCCAGTAAATCCTATGAATGAAGTGCACTTACTACTTAGATTTTAATTATAAAGCTTGCTGATTTTGCAAAAGGAATCCAGATGGTGCGAGTGACTTCCACTGAGGGTGAGGACAGTGGGCGAGACCTTTCTTCCTTTGAGACTGAGAATTGCTGCTCAAGGCACATTGCTTTATACTTATGTTTCTGTGACTCAAGCTGTGTTTCCCCACTTGTTTGGATTCACTAAAGGTGAACAGAAAACTAGGAAGCTGTTTTAAATTAAGACAATTTTCTAAGGCTATAGAAGCCTCCTATGGATTCTGTCCTATAGAAAGGAGGTCTTGTGGTTCTGACTGCTGTCCCCACACAGTCTGGACTCATTCTACCAACGTGGAGCTTCCATCCTGCATCTCTACAGTTTGGATGGTCTCTTGCTTAGCATAGCCTCATAGAACAGTGAAGACAGGGGAGAAGGGCTCCTTTAAAAACCACCCTTGTTTGAACCTGCCGATTCCTTCTGAAACTGATATGCATTTCTGATTATCCTGATGGATTCTTTCCTTATAACCTCTTAACAAGTAAAGGTAAATCAAAAGTACTACAAGTCTCTGCATAAAGCAGACGGAAGCAGCATTTTCTCCAAAGAATGAAGCAATGCAAAGCACTGTGTTTATCATTCTTCATGGTCATGAAAGGATATGTAAGCTTGTGTGGACACTGTGGAGATCATGAGATGAGCTGTTCCCACTGGCAGCAAGAATATCAGCTGACAAGAAGGCTTCAGCCATAAGTAAAGGGGATGGCTTTGAGTGGAGGGGAGGGAACACTGCAGGATCTAATAGCCCTGTGTGGTCTGCCCCTCAGCCTGACTTTCTTCTTAACAAAAGAGGCGATAGATAGATACAGGTAGTCCACAGGGCCATTCCGCAGTGAGGTTACTTCATTACAGCCTCCAGAAATTCAGAGTTGCTTCCTATATGGCCAGTAAGGAAGATCACAGGGACATACAGAGCTTACAGTAATGGCAATAATTTAAGCACATTGTGAATTTTCTAGACGTGTTAAGAGACAGTGTCCTGAAACATTTATCTAAGAGATCCTTTATGTTTGGCAAAGTACCTTGAAGGCCGGTTGTATTTGGCCTACTTAATTCCTAACCCAGTGACATATTGGACGTTTGCCGTCCCTGCTCTACAACAGGGAGGCTGCCAGGAGCCAGATCGTGCTGTAACAAAGCATATTAGGTAAGAGGACTGTTCCTGTCGAGACAGTTTGCACAGAAGTCATCAAGACCAGAAGATTAAGTCAGGTCTCTATTCCTAAAATATATTCTAGTTACTTAAATTGCAGTGAATCTTGGATTTTCTTAAAGTCAAATATGAGGTCCTCCAAAATGTCCAAAGTGCTGATTTCTTTTGCTTTGAGGCAGGGTCTTGCTGAGTTTCCCAGGCTGGCTTTGGATTTGCCATCCTCCTGCCTCTTTCTTCTAAGAATTGGGGTTTCAGAAGTGTGCCGCCATATTTTATTGTACCACCAAATTTTCAGTCTGCTTCCTTCCATTAGCATAAACTAACTGTATTCCACAAGCATCACTCATCCCTCTACTGACATATGCTCAGGTATTCCCTTGGAGGGAGTCTTATCACAGTAACTATTGGAAGGAGAGAGAATTTGATAGTGAGGAAGTGATGGGCGAGAATAGGCATGAGAGCCAGGGCAGCTGGCTCACATTGACCTGTAATCAGGAGCATAAGCAAGATGAAAGATGAGCACATCTTCAAGCTCAGAACAGTCAGGACTGTGGAACATTTCTGTTGGTGCATAATCTGATAGTTATTCAAATGTATCTTTTTTTGTAGCAACCAGTTTTATTATAATAGTTTTAAAGGCATTTCACCAATAAATATTTTTCTTATATGAATAAGAAGTTATCTCTACAAAATAATGTTTCCCTTCCTATAGAATAATTTCAGTCTCAAAGCTTATGCCAGAAAAACAAAATGTATGCTGAAAAATCCTGTCTTTTCTCAAAATTAGTATGTTTAAAATTGTAAACTGATCTTTCAAAGGGGGAGAAAATTCATCTAAAGGAGATGGCAGGACTCTGAGTAAATCCTTTCCGAAAGGGGTTGCCTTACCATCAGCAGGACTAGGGCTCTGAAGACAAGCTGAAAGCCAAATGAGACATTACCGCCAATGTATGTGCCTGATTTAAGCAGTTATTTGTTTACTCCCAAATAACTATATTTGCCATTACTACTAAAAACGTGATGTGAGGGTTTTCAATACATCACAGTTTAAAAGGAGACTTACTTGTGTTTCCATTTAGAATCATAAAATGTTTTTGATCAGCTTCTTTGAACAGGAAGTATTCAGAACATCAAATATATCTTAACTTGCAAAATATGAGGAAGAGAAGTACAGAAAACAGGAATCCAAAAGAGTATGTTATCTGAACCTATGCCCCTGAGAGATCAAATGCTTTAGAGAGGCGCTTCTAATTACCCCCTGAAAGTTGATTCTGAGGCAAACACCTCTATTAGCAAGAGACGGTTAAGGGGATGGAGAAGTGTAGAATCTTCTATATTAATCAATTCTTATTTCTATACCTTACAACTAGGGTATATTTATTCATCAACAAGAAGGTGGATACTAGTCATCTGAAAGTTATAGGAGTCACCAGTTAACCTGCTAAGGTTATTCAGGTTTAGGAAGCATCATCCCTAAACATCACAACTCACTTTATACCTGGGACATGGGTGAGTGGCTCACCCCAGCAGAACCTGCAGGAGTCACCTCAGGCTTGAAAGGGTCAAAGTCCAGATCCAGCAATGTCTCCTCCTTCTTCACCTCCATGACTTCATTCTGTTAAAGCAAAACCAGCCATCTTTGGTTTGAAATGCACAGGATTTCACTAAATAGTCCAGGTAGAATCTATCTAATACTATTGTTTGAAATATCCCCATGCAACTGCAGTGTTTCATCCAAATGCTCCCAGAGTCTCTCAGGTAAATGTGGTGAAAGGGGTGATAACTAATTCTAGCCAAGCACAACCCACAACCTATGTCTCCCTGGAGCATGCCCTAGGCTTTTGTTCCTTTGTCCAGCTCTAAGTCCAGCCAACAATAAATGTGTAAGGGAGGTTATCATAAGGCCACACAGATACAGGCCATCTTCTCCTTCGTTAGCTCAGATGATGCAAATAAGAAAATCACACAGATAAGAAAATTACAGATGACTAAGAAACTAAAAATGGGCCAAAACTTGAATCTGTTACAGGAACCCATTGCTATGATGCTAAAACTTAATCAGGAAGGCACCAAGGCAAAGTGCCAACCCATATCACTTCCCTCATCCTCCCAGTGGTGCACATCTGTGTGGCTTGAACATGAAAGGTGCCCCAGAGGCTCAAGTGTTTGAACACTTGGTCCCCAGCTGGTGGCATTCTTTCGGAAGACTGTGGAACATGTAAGTGGAACCATCTGGCGTAGACCTTGAGGTTTTATACCCTGTTCCATTTCCTTTCCTTTCTCTGCTTCCTAGTTGTGGACTCAGTGTGAGGGGTCACCATATGTTCCTGCAGCCATTCCTTCCCTGCCATAAAGGAGTGGTCCTCAAACCATGAGCTAAAACACACCTGCCCCTAAGTTGCTTCTTGTCAGGTATCTGGTCACAGCAAAAAGAAAGGTAACTAATACACCATCCCTTGATTTACTTATCATCAGACCCATTCCTCAACCTCAACATTGTTTTTATTGCTTCTATGTGGGAAGAATGAAAGGAGTTCAGAGAGCACCATGTCACACAATATTCACTGCAGAGTAACCCTCCATGACACTTTTGGGTTAAAAGGCAGGTAAGCAAATGAGCACAGAATGAAAGTCCTCAGGTAACAGTATCAAATTACAGTATTAAATATTAAACATTAACATGTTTGTGAACTTGTAGTAATGTGACACAAGAAAATAGCATAGGCTTGAATTGGCTTAACCTTGGCTCAAGTTACATATTGAAGGGTAGAGCTGAGACAAGGTCTCTGTAACCCACAGCACAGTGACAAGGATTGGGGTCAGTTCCACATAATTCAAATAATGTGGTTTTGGTATTTGATGTTTTATTTTTGAACATTTTGTTGTATAGAAATTGAAAGGTCACATCATGGTAAAGTGCTACATAAAAGTTGAGGTGTTTGAAGAAAGATTTTAAAGAACAGGAGCTGTTTTCATTATTGGTCATAGAACAAATGTCAAAATCTAGAAACACATGAAAAGCTGGGGGAGGGTATGATGGATAATGCTTTATCACTTCCGCATTCATTGTAGCACAAAGCTGCTCATATATCATAATACTAGTTTTTACTAATGGAATAATGCTTTCTTGATACAAATTTTTTTTTTTTTAAAGTGTATTTACTAAGTGTTTTAATTTTTTTTTTTTTTTTTTTTGGTCTTTTCAAGACAGGGTCTCCCTGTAGCCCCAGCTGTCCTGGATTCACTATGGAGAACAGGCTGGCCTCGAACTCACAGAGATCCGCCTGCCTCTGCCTCCCAAGTCCTGGGATTAAAGGCATGTGCCACCACGCCCGGCCTTTAAAATTTTTTTTAAAGACAGATTTTTGTCATAACATTTTATAAGACAGATTTTTGTCATAACATTTTATATATTCATTGAAAATGTATTTTCAGTTGTCGATACTAAAACTTATTTTTTCACTGAATTATATGTCCCTTGTATGTTACATATTTTATTGATATATTATATATATTCATATTCATTGTACATAATGAAGCGTTTCATAAAGATATTTTCATTCAAGTAGACTTTGACTATATTTACCTCTATGCACCTAACTCCTTTTCCTAATCTTCTATTAGTTTCTTCTTTGTCCCAATTTTTGCATCTTCTTTCAGCTCATATATATGGAAAATAGATATGTATATATATATATATATATTACAATATTACTCTTGATTTCTATTCTTCAACATGAGTATTCTTCATATTTTTTTCAAGTTTTTCATAGATATTCTCCTAGGAACACTTTTTTCTTTCTTAAGTAATTTAAGTAATAAAACTGATTCCCTAGCCTTCTGTTCAAGATCTGCATGTAAAGAGAGGACATGAAATGGAGAGGGAGATGTGGTGGTGGGAGGAGTGGGAGGGAATGGAGTGTGGGAAGCAAGTGTGGGTGGGTATTATTAAAATACATTGTATACATGTATGAATTTCTCAAAACTAATATCTTTAAAATATGTATGTATGTTACTTTTCATTAACGTTTATATTGATGTCGATTATAGATTTTAACTTATATAACACAGAATGGTACTGAAGTGGTAGTATCTTCCTTGTTGGCCAGCTCTCATAGTCCCAGAATGTTCTATGTAGGCTGCTAGGGAAGAAAAAAAATATTAGCTGTCTTTAGCTGCAAATCCTGTGAACTACAATAACAACCAGGCTGGTAAGATATGCTCAACAGTGCAATAATGGCACTAATATTTTGGGTATTACTAACAGCTGTGTGAGGACCCCCTTAGTAGGAGGAGGAAGGAACTCATACTTAATACAATAAATCTAATCAAGAGCCCTTGGCTGGCGAGGTCACAGACCCCATCCTACTACGACAATAGTAGTAGTAAATTATTACTAGAACCTACTACTACCAATCTGATAAATTAATTGACATAATACCCAACTGCCTTCTACACACTTATTCTCACACTCATAGATTAGTGCTGCTCTTACTCCTTATCTTTTTGCAGTAAATGGAGGGTATTAGAGAGACATAACTGGTCAAAGTGCAGAGAATAAATGACTGCAAGTGCCCATCCCCAAACGGGACATCTGTAACCCAATTTTTACATCAAAGGCTCAAGGAACATTGCAGATAAGGATGTGGAGCCAGAGGACCAGGAGGGCTGCTGCAAAATCCTGTCCCCTGGGCACAGCAGGGATGCTGCACCCACAAACTCTCAACAGCTATGGTTGTCTTCACAAGACAATACCAGTCACTATTCCATCACTGATTGGGGGAGGGCTCACAAGGCCCCAACCTTAGTTGAGGAGCTACAGGTTGTCAATGGCTACTAAGAGAAGGACAGTCAATTTTCTTCAGAGAGGATATCTCTGGTAGGTTGCCCATGTTCCACACTCCAACACTAATTGGACTATGTAGGAAATTTTACATATACAATCAGAACAAGAGGATATCAATTTGAGAGGTGAATGTGCGAGGAGTTGGAGAGGGAAAGAGGAGTGGATATGATCAAAATGAATTGCACCCATGTATTAAATTCCCTCCAAAATAAAAAATAACAGAATGTACTAGACAAGGAATGCTCTAAGAACCTGACATGCACCAACATTACACCGTGCTGATGCACTTCAGAACAGTCTGTGACAGTGGCATTGTTACATCCTTTAAATAGGGACTGTTCTCTAAACTGCATTTAGCCTGCATTGTCTAACAAAATCCCTTTAGAAAATCAAGGGGAAATGGTATCATTTCCTCATTTGGAGAAAAAAAAATGGGCTGAACAAACTCATCCTCTATTGTGGGTCCTCCAGCTGCAGTGTGGCACAGGCAGGACTGTAGAAAAGGTGCTCATGACCCCAGTGCCTTTCTAGGTTGCTGGTCGGACTAGTCTCATGGCTCCCAAGCAGGGAACCTAAGGATCTCCTGAGGAAATCTCAAGTTCACCATACAAATATGGGCCATAGGAACAGGATCTTGATTCCCCCTTTGAGTCTAATGATTTACTTTAAAGACACTTGGTGCAAATATGGAGATCAAAGATGAAATTAATAAATCAAATTCTTTGAACTTCACTTTTATCAAGCAGAAAATGAGTATAATAAGGCCTAGTGGAGTTCCCATGAGTAATAACAACAATAACTGTAGTGTACAGAATATATGGAAGATTCAAAGAATAGAAGCCAATGTTAATACTATTAATAACAATGCATTATCTGTGTCTATACAACATCACTATAATATATTCATCAAATGTCCATGCTGTTTCTTAAGGCTCAAGCTGCATTAGTTTTACTCCTTTCATCTCAAGAGTCATTCCTTAAGGCACTCCTGTCATACAAGAGTTTCACAGAGTTACAAAAAGAATAAAAGTATGCTGCTGCCAAAATGTTGCTGATATGTGCATTTCAACTAACTAAGATTTTTTATATGGAAAAAAAATAGAGTACCTTAAAAAAAAACCTTACAAAAGACTGCCTTAAAAACCTACAATGAACATCACATATAATGATTAACTATTAGACGTTTTTTTTCCCTAAGATCAATAAAAATATGAGTGATCTGCCATTTCTACTTGACACGACAATGATGATATAAGCCAGTAATATAAAGTAAGAAAGAGAAACACATGGCATCTAAATTAGGAGAAAAAAATAAACTCTTTAATCATAAAAAGCTATGATACATACATAGAAAATCCAGTGAAATTTATAAAACCTTGAAGGAACTAATAATTGAGTTTTGCAGGGCTACAGGACACAGTGTCAATATAAAAAATGACTTGCATTTATATATAATGGTATGGACAACCACAAACTGAAATTCTAAAAATATGATTTATAATAGCACTAAAATATGAAACTCATAGGAACACGGGCAACAAAGGATCCCAGTATTGCTCACTGAAAACTATAGCATAAGGCACAGTGAAACCAGAAAAGACCTTAATAGAGATACATTGCATCTGTGGGGGAAAAAAATCAGTATTTAGAGATACCTTTAGCCTATACATTCAATTTAACACCAATCAGTAACTGTACTTGGATAAAATAGTCTCTCCTAAAAATTCTGCCTATCTGCAGATTGAGAATATGACCTTATTTGGCAATAC